GGTATATATGGTTCGGATCGTCTTCAACCCCAGTGAATAATATCCTTGAGTGTTTCCTGGAAGCTAGTATATGAAACCATCTCATAAACTTTCTTGAACCCGAGACCGTAGATCGGTGAATCATTTTCTTCTATCTGGTTCTTGTAAAACTCCACGAGCTTCTTCTCGAAATTAGAGCACTCACCTTTCTTTGATGCACTAGCAGCAGCTAGAGGAGTACGGGAAGAAGAAGTTGATGATGAAGCTGCAGCATCAATAGGGGCGTATGTCTGAGACTCCAACCACATGTGGCCTAGCACTTGGCATATTCCTTCCTCAAGAACATTGTTTAGAATCCTATGTCCTGTAATCAAACCAAAACACTTGTGAGGCCTCTCTCTCTAATGTTTCTTGGTGATGATCAATCAATTCTCGTAAACACAAAATTTTGTGTATTCTAACCATTACTTACCATTGAGTCTAAGATAAGCATGCATCATCTCGTGAGCCAAGAGGTATCCAGTTAGTAACCTGTGTGTGAACATATATTTCATTGAGCCTAATTGGCGCGAGAGAGTACTTAGAATTGAGATGATGAGGTACAGTACCTTGGAAGTCCATATAAGATGAGAATTGCAGTGACCTCACACTCACGAACAACCCTTTGAGATTCCGTCGCCACACCTGTTAGCTGCTTGTTCGGCCCCATCCTTGGCCCTTTTGAGACCTTGTACATGAGGACCAGAGTTGAAGTCATGAATTCCATAGATTCTAAATTGCGTTTAAGCGGTACCAGTGCTTACACTTGTGACGGTCTGGGCTTCAGACAGGCAAATGCTTCTGGTGACCAACTCATACTGATTGTCCTGCATGTGTAAAAAACTTACAACGCATATCAGTGAGAGAGAAAGAAAGTGAGAGATGGAACTTTGAGTAAGGGAGTGTGCTCACAATCTTCTCTTCTTTCTCAGCTCCATTCAGCACTTGTTTCTCTACCAAAAGAACAGGAAATTCTTTCTCAATCTTCATGTTTAAGGCTTTGAAGTATTCACGGATTTCAAAGTGCAGAGGCTGGACTTCGTAAGAATCCATAACCGCTGAATCCATACATTCTAGACATAGCTGCCGACGATCACTAAAGATCACAAAGTTTGTTCCCCTAGGCTGCAAAGAAACATAAGAACTCAAACCAGTTGGATTATAGTTTCCTTCTTCATCTCATCTCATTACCTTTTGCCATATTATGTTATATGAAAAAGGTAACCTCACCTGTAACCTCTCGCAACTGCAACACTTGGGAGTTCCATCAGATTCATGAGCAGGGCAGTAGCTCTCCTTCCAGAAATGATGTTGATTGAACATTCTAATCTGAAAGAATACAATTACATTTCCAGTTACTTTCATTCCTCACCGTCAAAAGTACCAACGGAGAATCCATAACTTGCATATATACCTTCACTTTCTCTTTGCAGACATAGCAGTACTGCTGATAGCAGGATTTGTGAAACTTGCCTCTTGAGTTTGAAACCTAAGGAGTTAGATATCAAGAATTTGCATAAGAAAATACAAATGAGCCAGTGAAGGAGTAAATTAAGATACCGAGCACTTTGAAAAGAAGGATTCTTTTCGTACATGGTTTTCAACCTCGTGTATAGCAATTGGTTTGTGGCAAGCATCACACCAGAGACACTCAGGATGCGAAGGAACACCTAAGACATCCACAGATCTTCCATGTTCAATCTCAGAGTTGCAACCACCACACATGCTACGAATGAAACATTGTTAACCAAGTCAGGACCTATCTATAACTTGAGTTTAAGAATGCAAGGAAACTAGCAATAGACATATAAGCTTACCTGCGAGGAGGATTCACCTTTGGGAGCTTCTCATCGTCTTCCACCTCATCTTTGAATTGTTTTATTTGGCCTTTCCCCTTCAAACTCTCCCGGATAATCTTATCAAGCTGTTCGTCTTCATCCAACGGAGAATCTACCAGGTTTAGACTCTCCTGAACAATCGCAGCAAGCCGTTCATCCTTTTTCAATTGTTCATCTTCAAATTGCTTTCCTTTGCCTTTGTCCTTTAAACTATCCTTAGTAGCCTTGGCAAGCTGCTCATATAAATTGATGTTATAAACACAATCCAACAAACATTACCATTTACTGTTGATTAAATCATTGCTATTACATTTTCTTGATCTGTTATCCCTTTGTGGTTGTCTCTTTTAATTTTCCTCACCCGCGGAACACAACCCACCCACCTCGACAACACATTGCGCTTAGATTTTACCTTACTAGGCACAGTAGAAAGCTTTTGTGGCTTGCTGGATGGAGGAGAACAAATCTTTGACTCTTGCTTTTTGGGCAAAGGAGGAGGAAGCTCCTCAGTATTACTTATATCCTCATTTTCCCTTGAAATTGCACCAAAACTTGTATCACCTTTTGAATCCATAATTACCTTAACATCACATTCTGTCACCACGCAATTAGCACCTAAAAGCATGTTTTCCCCACTCACTGTCTGGAATTCAAATATGAGTTTCTCAGCTGACATATTTTGATCCATTCTTTCACCAACACCTGGATGCATTTCGGCATCATACAAGACAAATAGGTGATCCCTTTCAACTCTTGGAGCTTCTGTCGGATCCCAACACTTAAAAACTCTCTCTTTTCTATCAAACTGGCCTTTCTTGGTCTCCCATAGGCATATGCACCTAATACCAAAGCCCAAGGTATTGTGGCAATCATCCTGAAATGATACTACAACTGACATAGCAAAACCTGAGAGATCCTTTCGCTCATAAGGAGCAAGGTCTACCGTAACAGATGAACCTGCTCCTTGCGAATGAAAGGAAGACCACGGACACACATCTGCAGGAAAACAGATGTTGAATGCAGGTGCTTTTATGTGTTCCTGTTGCAACAAGGCCAGACCCAATCAGATAACCAATACATATAAATGAGAGAATGTGCACACGTGACAAGAAAATGAGAGAAAAACCTGATTTTGTTGTCCGACTAACCTAATTCCTCTAGTCAGACCGTTCTCCATAAATCCAACAGTCGTTTCCGAAGACAAACTAAAGCAATTACTGAACGTGTAGTGTCTCGGAAGCTGCTCAAAATCTAAACAAACTGACTTCAAATGGTCACAATTATGAGCATTCAAAAATTCTAGGCTTTCGGGAAGCTTTGGCAATTCTCGTATGGCTGTTCCAGCAAGATAAAGCTCCTTCATGTTTCTTGGGAAACCCTTAATTTTCTCAAGCCTATAACAGCTAGATAGATCAAGAACTTGGAGAGATTCTAAATTGAACATGTCAGGCAGACTTTGCAAATTAAAACAATCTTTCATATCCAAGCGGACAAGCTTGTCAATACCTTGATTATATGAGCTAACTTTAATCAGATTTGTTACGCTTTCCAAATCGATATGCTCAAAACCCGGAAAGTATTTTAGATGATTCATAAGTTCCTTGCAGTTTGGCTTAACTTGGGAGAAGTGGGTCACAGTGGATATTGATATCTCTTCTATGCTAGTTCCCTGGAGATATAATTCCTCAATATTTGGTGGAAGCCCTGGGACAATTTTAATATTTCTGCATCCTGAGAGATTTAAAACTCGGAGATGTTGTAATTTAGCCATAGCTGGAAAACTCTCCAGTCTTGTACAACCTTGGAGATCAATCAGCTCGATATTTTGAGCATATCCATGTATGCTAAATTTTATTAGCTGCTGGGAATGACAAAGCCTGATCCTCTTCAACTTTTCGAGGTTCTGAAAAAAAGTTTTAAATTAATAACAGAATGATTATGTATTGAGTGGGGTGAAAGACGGATACATTGCCTACCTTGGTTCTAGCCCTGAGTTTCTTAAGCTGGCTGTAAGGCATATTGAGTTCGACAAGTTCCCGGAGGTCAAAACCTTGAGGCAAGGATTCAAAAGGATAGTTCTCCCAGTAGAGGAGCCTTAGCTCACAAGGCAGAGAATTGAGTCCCTTGGGAAAGTTGAGTCCAGAAACATTTTTAGAGTAAGAGTTGTATACCTTCAGGAATCTCAGACTAAACATATTCTTGAAGGCATCAGGATTGACATCAAATATCAAGTTTGATGTGTCCAGAGATACACCTTCGACGTCTTCAGCAGCCTGTAAGAACAAGAGAAGCCGATTAATCAAGGAGTTTGGCTCATCTCCGAATAGTAAGTTATGTATGAATATAGAAAAAATTAACGGACCAGAACACACTTAGGAGTTTCTTTGGGTTCTCCATTTGCTTTGAGTTCATCAACTTCTAGTAGATATCTGATGCTGGAAGGTTGCCACAGTGTGGCGCACCTCTCCATCTGTATTCTATCACCATTGATGATTCCTAGGATGATGTCTTGGATCAGTTCATTCATCTGCAATGTGTTTTCGGATATAGTCACCAGACACTTCTCCACAAGAACATCTATTCCAACGCGTGGAAAGTAACCACCACCATTAAGTAGTTGCACTACATAGTCCACATTCTCTCCCTTAAAGAAACAAGCAATGTCCACGAAGATATACTTCTCATTGTCACCAAGTGCACTATAAACACTTTTTAGCCTATCATGAATCTTTTGGGGAGGGCATTGCTTGAGCTCGAGGAAAGCAGCCTCCATTTCTGACTTCTTCCCTTTCAGCTCTCGGCCATAAATACGGAGAGCTAATGGGTTTCCATCAGCATAGTCGATCACCTTTACTGATAGTTCCCTGTCATTCTGCTCTGGCACATCTTTTTGAAAAGCACTTTGGGAGAATAGTTGTAGAGCCTCGTGCTCATTTAAACCCTGAACCTTGTATATGTGATTGACCTGACAAGGAGCAAACACTTGTTTATATCTGGACGTTATGATTATGAGGCTTCCAGGACCAAACAAATCAAGCCTTCCAAGGAACGACTCTGCAGCCAGAGAATCCTGCACATCATCTAAAACAACAAGAATCCTTGTATCGCATAATTTTTCCTCAAGGAGGTTCAGTCTTGCGATGTAAGAACCGCTTACGCCAAACTTCTCTTCCAGAATTTTACCAATCTTTTCTTCAAGCAACCGGTAAGGTCCCACCTTATGAAGTGATTCATCAAAGTTCTCGATGAAGCAAGAAGCATCATAGTCATTAGACATCTGATCAAAGACTGCTTTAGCAAGTGTCGTCTTCCCTATCCCGGGCATGCCCCATATTCCTAAGGTTCGGACGCCCCAAGGCTGCTCGCAAAGTAGGTTTTCAATCTCCAGTAGCCTCGAGTAAATTCCAATTCGTTCTGTAGAAGAGAGCTCCCCATTAACATCTCTAACTATCTGTTCCACGAGATCAGAGTCGCTTTGAATCATATTGCTTGAGTTCCTACCAAACAAAAGAGAAGATAAAAAAACAAACCCCATTGTTCTTATTCATCTTATAAGCTTCAATGGATCAAATCCTAATTATATGAAGAAATCCATATATACAACAAGGTTCAAAGTGTTACCTGATTTGGTGAAGGCCTGCAAAATTCCCGATTCGCAGCCAATCGTAATTTGGGTTCACATCCGATGGAGCAATGCCGTAGAACACCGGAACCATTACAGAGCTGTTGTTCCTCCCACGCTCGATAACCTTATCAAACCAAGGAACGGAGAGCGCGTAGGTCTGGGAGAAAACGACCACCGAAACCCTAGCTCCCTGATTCTGATCATCGGGATCTGAATCCGTAAAAACGGAGACAGAGATGCCTTGGCGGCGTAGAGCGGCGGCGAGGTGGCTGACGAAGGAGTAGCGTACTGATTCCTCGCAGATGATGTTGACGCCGTGACTAGTCTCATCGGAATCCACCATGATCGTTAGCAGTTGGTGGATTCATAAACCCAATTTCTGTCAATTCTCCGATTACACAAAACCACCAGCCAGGTCAACATATACTTTTCTGTATTGCAAAAGAATGTTTGAAATCAAAACACTTATTTTGGAGTTGTAATTCTTGTTCTTATTATATATTTATATATGGAATTACAGATTTTTTTTTTTTTGGTCACAATACAAATTAATTAAAGTTAATTCACCTTGTTAGTTTACATAAAACATTTTTTTTTTAAATGCTGATGATATAGGCTTTGATTGGTTAAGATGTGAATGATTAGATATAAAATTAAAATAAATTATTTTATTTTACTTATTTATATATATTCTAATACATTATATATATATTAGTCATAAGTTATAACATCAATTTTTATTTTTTAATTAAATTATTATTTTATTATAATACTATTTCATAAATAATATTACAAATAAACTAATGGTATATATTAAGTTTTTATTTTAATATAAATAAAAATATGTTTAAGAATTATAAATTTTAATCTTTAAGTTATATTTTTATTTAAATTTATTTAAAAAATAATAGAACATATAAAAAATAATATATATGTTTTATAATTACAGTAATTATGTATATTTACTTTTATTGAAATGTTTGTATATATTATATTTAGAAATTATAACATAAATTTCGTTTATAATCTTTTCGAATATAAATTATATTTAATTGAATTAATATTATATTATATTATAATATTATCTTAATATAATAGAATAAATAAAATAATGATAAATTTGAATTTAAATAATTAAAAGTTAATATAATTTGTTTTTGTTGTAATATAAAATAAATTGGTTAGTTATATAATTTTATTTTTAATTTTTGTAAAAATATTTAGAGATCAATGCTCTGGAAATGCTCTATTTGAGAGCATTGAGGGAGGAGCATTTTGACAGCATTTGCAGTTACTAAATGCCCTACTTAATGCTCTGTCAACCAATCAAGTTTTAATGATAAAATGCATAATGCTCTTTAAAATGTTCTGCCAATCAAGCCCTAGAGGTTCTTTACTTGTAGAGATATTTTATCAGAAACTTATTACACTAAATGCACTTATTATGCAAAGTATACTTTTTCAATGGGTAAAGTCTATTATAACCCTTAGGCAACTTCTCTTTAGATTTATCCGATTACTCTCAACCTCAATTGAATCTATTTCCTTTAAAAAACAATATCTTCTTCTCTTTATTTTCCAAATCTGACGAAAACCCAGAAAAACAAGTCGATGAAGGCAAAACCCAATTCCAAATTTGTAATCTTCACTTATCTCTTGCTCCTCAATTCCGTAATCTCCCCCTGTTCCATTCTAGGCGACAAAGCTAGATCTGATGATGAATAGACGATGGCAAAGGCATCCTGGGATGCGATTCCCTCTCTTCCTTGTTCATACTTTCCGTATCTCTCAATTACCTCCTCTTTGCCGTTAAGAATCGCACATGATCTGGGATTTTCATGAGAGTCCGGTGGATCTCAAGCTACGATACACGACTCTTTTGTTTCCCGACCAGTTACAATGTATCTCCTCTTTTTCAATTTTGATTTTCGATAATTTGAATTATGGATGATTGAGGTACTTTAACTGTAATATTGCAAAAATTTCTAGGTTTTGTGTTTATTTTTTTAACTTTTTTGAGAACTTGTACATGATGTTGTGTCTGATGTTTGTTATTAATTGTGATATAGAGTTTCAATTTTTTTATCGTGAAG